TTCTTGGTCTCCTGCCCTCTCAAGAATGAGAGAGGGGAACACGGTGCAGTGTGCAGTAAATGCCAGACTCAAAAATGTTTGTATAAAGTGATTGATTTATTTATTTAGAGAGAAACTGGAGGAGAGAGAAAGAAATAGCTAACTCTCACACTGCGTGAGAGAATCCACAAAGATGGAATCCAGGAGAGGAAAGCAGCTTCCACACTGCGTGGAAGGGAACAGAGAAAGATGGAGCTTATGAGGGGAAGACGGGCTTCCATGAGAGAGTAGGGAAGGGGACTTCAGAGAGGAAATCCAGGGGAGAGAAAGATGGCTTCCACGAAGGGAGTGTTTGTGGAAGGGGACCCGAACATGGAGTCTGAAGGGGTGTGGAAGAAGGGGATTTTTAACCTGGGAAGAACCCCCCACCCCTTCTCTAAGACCCCTGGCCAATGAAGGGAGTTCCTTAGAACTTCCGCTGGAGTGCTTGACCCTTAGTTTCTTCCTGCGCCCGTGAAATTTAAACATAAACAGTTAAATCTCCTGGGTGGAGAGAGATGGGAGGGTGGCGTGCTGTTGGGAAGTTCTTGCCTTTAAAACTGCACCCCCTTGTGGACCCTGAAAGAGAACACCTTTCCTCAAACGGAACTACAGCCTGGGTGACAGAGCGAGACTCTGCCTCAAAAACAAAACAAAACAAAACAAAAAACATGCACTAAGTCATATTAGAATTATAGGAGTGTCCCATAATTTTGGAACACATACCAATAACACGTATACAAATATAGCCCAAAGGAAACCAAACACCATTTCATATTTAACAACACTTCTTATATGATTTCTATAGCAAATAAACCAAATATGTTTCTTTTGGACTTCAGGGGAATAATAGCAAAAAACTAATGAGGACCCAAGTTAGAATTTGACTTTGGAAAGTGTGTCAAATATAAAAAGTTTAAAACGCTTAATATTGGCCAGGCGCGGTGGCACACACCTGTAATTCCAGCAGTTTGGGAGGCTGAGGTGGGCAGATCATGAGGTCAAGAGATCGAGACCATCCTGGCCAACATGGTGAAACCCCGTCTCTACTAAAAATACAAAAATTAGCTGGGTGTGGTGCTGCGTGCCTGTAGTCCCAGCTACTTGGGAGGCTGAGGCAGGAGAGTTGCTTGAACCTGCAAGGCAGAGGTTGCAGTGAGCCGAGATCATGCCACTGTGCTCCAGCTTAGGTGACAGAGTGAGACTCCATCTCAAAACAAAAGAAAATGTTTACTTTGCAAAGGCAATGCTTTTTTACTTCATAAAATTTTCATGCCAGCTTTCTCTACTATATTTATTTTAAATAGCTTTGCTTGCTGATTGGGCAAAGGCTATTATCTAGGCTGGTAAATGCTGTGCCTACATCAAATTAGCTGTCAAAAATCAAATTATATAATTCAACTATTATGATTGCATGTTTAGAAGTAGAATATTAAGTAACTTATTTTTACTACCAAAAATAGTTCAGAAGAGAAGTAATTGAAATAAAGTCATTATTGTGCCACTCTAGGCCCTAGATTTTAAATTTCAGTGTTTCTAATATTAACCTAGAGATCAATACCATGTATGTTTCAGTATTATGGGTAGGATATGGGAGCTGCAGTGAGACATCTTTCAAAACTTGTAAATAATATTGCCCTTTGAGTGTTGAGCCATGAAATCGACCCAGAGTGAGGGATGTCCTGATTGATCCTGGTAAGCATTTTACTTATAGAATAATATCTTTAATCTATATTGATACTTACAAAAAACAGTTTACTTATAGAAAGCAATTAATAGGCAAAGCCAGGAAGTATTAGCACACTTAAAGGCAAGATTTAGATTTACCTAAAGAAAAACAAAATGAAAACTCATATCCAGAAGATAAGTTGTATAGTGAAAAGAGGAGGATGTACAGTAGCTACTTCTAATGGAAGACGTCTTGGCTAATGGACTTCCCCTTAGGAAAGTTTGGGGCCGATTTTTCTAAAACCTGGTGGAGAATCAAGTAAAGGAGGCTGGAGAATTAGAGACACTAGGTAACTAGAAGAGGCTTGGGGCAGAGAGGGAGACAGCAGGGAAAGTTTGGAGAAAACAGGACTTGTGGGTATCTAAACTGCCAAAGATAAGGAACGGAGCGAGAGAACTGAGCCAGATTCAGCCTAACCAAGTTCTTTATGTGATTCTAAAGAGCGTTAGCAGACAGGCTGATAGTGTTATGAGTAAGTGCTAGGTAAGTATTAACTATCATTACATTGTTGATAGTTTTACATTCTTTCTCACTTGACATTGAATTCTAAGCACATTCCATGTAATTAAAAATTTCTTAGAAACCGTTTTTTAAAGTTAAGTGGCTGCATGATATATCATGCATGATATTTAGTAATTCCATCATGAGAAATTTAAGGTGCTTTGGGAGGCCGAGGCGGGTGGATCACGAGGTCAAGAGATCAAGACCATCCTGGTCAACATGGTGAAACCCCGTCTCTACTAAAAATACAAAAAATTAGCCGGGCATGGTGGCGCGTGCCTGTAATCCCAGCTACTCAGGAGGCTGAGGCAGGAGAATTGCCTGAACCCAGGAGGCGGAGGTTGCGGTGAGCCAAGATTGTGCCATTTTGCTCCAGCCTGGGTAACAAGAGCGAAACTCCAACTCAAAAAAAAAAAAAAAAAAAAAAAAAAAAAAAAAAAAAAAACAAGTTTAAGGTACTTTCATTTCTCGGTATTATTTATTTATTTTATTATTATTATTATTATTATTATTTGAGATGGAGTCTCGTTCAAGTGATTCTCCTGCCTCAGCCTCCCGAGTAGCTGGGATTACAGGTTTCCGCCACCATGCCTGGTTAATTTTTTGTATTTTGAGTACAGACAGGGTTTCACTATGTTGATCAGGCTAGTCTCAAACTCCTGACCTCAGGAGATCCACCCGCCTCCGCCTCCCAAAAGGTTGGGATTAGACTTGAGCCACTGCACCTGGCCTCGTCTCTTGGTATTTAAAATAACTAGTGAAGATGTCTGTAAGTTTTAGATCTTATCTTTGATGGTTTCCTTGGGAATTTCTTGTTAAAGTGGAATTACAGGTTAGGAACATTTGACACTTTAAGTATGCACCAATTTACACTCCTACCATGCTACACCATTGACCAAGAAAAATTACTTTTTATCCTCACCTAATTGGGACATGAAAAATGGCTTCTCACCTTTCAAATTTACATTTCTTCCTGACTAGCAAGATTAAAATCTTTTCATATTTATTAGCCATTTTATCTTTTCTGTCACTTTCTTCACCCACTAAAAGGTGTTACTGTCCTACATGTTGATTTGTAAGATCTTTACATGTTAGACATGCATCATATGGTCTAAATGTTTTTTGCTAGTTGTTCTTCAATCATGTCTTTTGCAACCCAGTTTTAAAGTTTTCTATCTTATCCTTTAATTCATTAATAAATGAATATTTATTGAACAACTATGTGCAAGGCATTTTTTTAAAGACACATCAATGAACAAAATAGTCAAAAATTCTTTGGAATGTGGTACTTAAATTTTAGTGAGGGGAGATAGCCAATGACTGATAAGCATGATAAATAGGTAAAATTATATTAGTAAATAAGTGCTTTGGGAGGAAAATGGAGGGCAGAAGGGGTTGGAGATGTAGGGTATGGAGGCTGCAATTTTAAATAACATTTTGGTTTGGGTAGGTCTTATGAAGACCTACCAAAAGTCAAAAAAAGATGACTTTTGAAGGACTTGGAAAAAGAGAGTGACTGTGCAGATTATCTGGAGGAAGAACATAGTAGACAAAGTGAACAGCCATTGCAAAGGTCCTACAGGCTGGAACATGCCTGAAATGTTTAATCAAAGAGGTTGGAGTGAACCAAAGAATGAAGTACAAAAAGATGAAGTCAGAGAGATTAATGGTATGTGTATGAAATCACATAGGTCACTGTAAGACCTGGGTGAATGGAGCGTTCTGGACAGAGGGCATGATTCAACTTATTTTTTAAAGGATTGCTCTTTGTTGTGCTGAAAACAGAACAGTGGTAGCAATGAGAAGTGGTCTAATTCTGGATGTATTTTAAAAGTATAGTCAACAAGGATTTCTGATGGACTAGATGTAGGGTGTGAGAGAAAAGAGAGGAATCAAGGACAAGAGGTTTTTGGCCACTGGACTGTGGAGTTAGCAACATGAAGGTGATTAGCAATGGTGAGGTTGCAAGGAATCAAAAAGAATGGTTTCCTGGAAGCCAAGGAAAGAACTGGATCAACTGCTGCTAAGAGATCAAATAAGATGAGAATGAACTGGACTGAGGATTTAGCAACATGGAGGTCATTAGTAATGTCTGTGATTTCTCCCACTGTTTTTTACATATTTAATTTCTATTGGTGAAATTATACATTATTTCTACAATCATTCAACTTTCCTAACAGTATTCATCGAATAAACCATTTATTTGCTATGTTTGTTTAGTCTACTTACGATCAACAAAGATTCATATTCTTTCACCTTTGCTCATTTTAGACTCATATTTATATGGAGTGAGGGAATGGGACTGTGGCACAACTGTGTCCTTTTAATAAACCACATCTAAATTGGTTATAATGGCAAAGCCTTAAGATTGTGCAAGTTATGATTGGCTTTAATGTAGTTTATTTACATTATGCATAGAAGAGGGACACTCACACTTTTATTAAGTCACTCAGAAATTGTTGCCTTCTTTTCAAATGTGTAGTTGTTTTCCTCATGGAAGCGTGGAGAAAGAAAGGTAAGCATGGAAATCAAATTTTTTGTTTCTGCTACTAAATTATTTCCCTTATTTGACTTTTAGAGGAAATACTCAAAAGCCACTTCAAAATAATTCAATTTTTATTCATCCACATAGCATTTTCAGGACATCATATTTTCAATATTGCTACAAAAATTATTTTTAAATGCAAATTTTTAAGTGAAATTTGAGCCATAATTTCAAATAATTATTTCATTTTGTTTTGTGTATCTGCAGGCAAGTGAAATGGAAAAACCAAAGTCCTCAATTCAAATGCAGCATCACAAACAACAAATGAAACATACCATGAAGCTGATGATATAATTCAAGAAAAAACAATGGATGCAACACAAATCTACATTGCTTATTAACTAAAAATTATGTGTTTTAAATGCTTGCTAGAGAGATGGGGCAATAAAAATAAAGAGTACATTTGAAACAGTTTGTAATATTGCTTTTCAAAAACTTGTCACTCACAAAGCAAGACACAGCTGCATTTTTGATCAGTTACTTTATTAAACACATATTAAGGTTTTGATAGGTTTTCCTTTGTATAATTCATCTCCTAAATAATCTGTATAATGAAAGCTACAAAACAAATGAGTTCTCTGGTCCCACCTAATGCTATCACATTAATATGACCTAGAAATCTAGAAATAAAACTAATTTCTGCAAATTATAATTTTCAAATATTTTTATTCATAAGTGTGTTTTCTATTATAACACAGACCTGGTTTTGTAATAGAATTCGACAGGAAAAAAAGGAATAATTTTGAGCAGCTCCACTGAGCATATCTACTGTGTCCTGTAATGTTTTGTAGTCAGAAAACTAGCATTTTAGACAAGATCTGGCACATTTAGGGTGGTATGGCCATAAACAAACACTAGCATTTCAAAATGTGTGGAATACAGCTTCTCTGATCTGATATATAAAAAAGAATGCCTTATTTTTCTTGGGCATGCAAAGTTCAGGGTTAGAAACTTTTCATCATTAGCCTGTCAAAATTTCTGCCAAAAACTATGGTTATCTTCTAGACCAGAACTGTCTAAGAGAAGTTTCTGTGATGATGGAAATATTCTATATCTGCACTGTCTAATATGATAGCCACCAGTCACATGTGGCTACTGAGCACTTAAAATGTGGCTAATGCAGCTGAAAAAAATAAAAATTTTCATTTATTTAATTAAATAACCCCATGTCGCAATATTGGCACCACAGTCCAGATCACTATTTCAACATCCTACTGCCGGAGTTGAACTTTACATTCCAGAAGACAATTTTGCCAATGTTTAAATATTAAAATTGCTTAAAGTATACGTTAAGTTTGAAAATTAAGATATTTCCATTATAAAAATGACATTTTACATGGTCATAAAAGCAAAGAATTTTCAGTTATTTTTTGTGAAAGTTCATAAAGCTCTTATGGGTACTTTTTGATCTTTTATACAACTTGGAATTTTAAAGAATCCCAGAAAATTTGCTATCTTGACATACAGTAATTTAATAATATTACTGTATTTCTCAGGTGAAAATCTAGGTTGAGAAAAATTTAGTTAAGGCACTGGTACTGTTCTACTTTTGTTGCTCTAGGGCAAGAACTATAAACGGCACAAGAAGCAGGTAACAGACAGAGCTAGCAAAATGCTCACTGCTCCTGACTCCTCCCAACTTGTGGAAAAGGCATAGTGGGGCCAAGAATAACTGGATGCAGCATGGGCTGTGCTCTAGGAGAGGCACCCCAATTCTCTGCCACTCTACATATTTTTAGAGGAGTTGAGAGGAGATAATTGAGGTCGGAAGACTCTGGCCTTCACAACTGGGGCTGTTGTCACACTGGCGTAAGACACCTATTGTTTCTTGGATGCCCAATGTCCAGGAAGTTTTGGTCTCAGCACTAGGATCAGCTGGAGTCCTTGAAGCACTCCTTGCTGAGCTAGCTTTTCACTAGGTGACCTGAGGTAGAACAGGGCTCATCCAGTGGACCAACTGGTATGTCTCTCTGTAACTCTGAAGCAGTTGTGCTTCACAGGGTAACCCAATCTTAAAATCAAGGGGTCTTATTAAATTACAGCACATTCTGTACACTGACAACTGTATTCTGAATCATTTATTTGGACCTAACAAATACTAAAATAGTGGTAGAATTTAAGCCAGTCAAAAATAACTTAAAATACAATTAAGAACAAAACACATCTCAAAGTATGTACATGTACATATAACTTTGGGGATGGGTCTAATAAAGAATACAGTAGCTTTACATGTTTTTAGATGATTTAGGCTACTGTGTAATTTTTGGTAATGAGACCTTAGAAAGAAATGTAAGTCTAATAAGAGAGCCTAAAATAATCAAATTATATTTTATGTAGCCTTCCAATGAAAGCAATTTCATCTCTTAAAAATGGTGGCATTAATTGGATTACCAAATGGATAAAACGAAACCCCAATAAATAATTTCCTTCCTCAAAACTCTTTTTTTTTTTTTAGATGGAGCCTCGCTCTGCTGCCCAGGCTGGAGTGCAGTGGTATGATCTTGGCTTACTGCAACCTACACCTACTGGGTTCAAACAATTTTCCTGCCTCAGCCTCCGGAGTAGCTGGGAGAACAGGCACCTGTCACCATGCCTGGTTAATTTTTGTATTTTTAGCAGAGATAGGGTTTTGCCAAGTTAGCCAGGCTAGTGTTGAACTCCTGACCTCAAGTGATCTGCCCACCTTAGCCTCCCAAAGTGCTAGGATTACAAGCGTGAACCACTGCACCTGGCCCCCTGTAAAACTCTTTAATGGTGTCTCATTGCTTATAAATTACAGCTCAAGCTCCCAAACATGGAACATACAACTCCTTCCTCTTGTTCCTAAGAACTTAAAATGGTAGTCTCAATTCTTACCACTTCCCGTCTCGCCTATGACACACCAGCGACACCAGAATATTTGTAATTCTTGACACACACCTAACACAGCTTGTTCTACATCTGGTGTTTGTTCACCATACCCAATCTGTCAGGAACTGCCATAACCCTCACTCTTATCCTTAATCAAAGTGCAATTCAGTCACGACTTTCTGTAGGTAGCCTCTTCCAATTTCTTTCTTTTCTTTAAGATGTGGTTTCACCATGAAGGCCAGGCTGGTCTTGAACTCCTGACCTCGGGTGATCCGCCCACCTCAGCCTCCCAAAGTGCTAGGATTACAGGCATGAGCCGCCGCGCCCGGCTTCTAATTTCTTCAGACTAGGTTAGGTATTCCTCTGAGCTTCCATAAACCCATGTTCATGTCAATTGCTGCTCTAATTATAAAACGGCTATGCTCTGGTGTTTCTCCTACCAACTAAAGTGTGACCTCCTTCAGAAAGGCAAATGTGTTCTACTTATCTCTGTATCCCAGTACTTAGTACAGCATTTGCCATGTTAGGTACTCAGTATTTGTTGAAGAAAGGACTCAATGGCATTTTTATCAACATTATTAACAACTCTTCAGCCTAGTTTACTCTGAAGGTAACCAAGGGTTATATAATTTTAGATAGAGTTGTAAATACAAACACATATAGTTGTTTTACTTCTCATTTATTATTGTTTGACCTCAGAAAACCAAAGCTGTAAATGCATATATATTATGTATGAAGAAATAGGGATACCTCTGAGAAATATCAGACAAGATATGATATCCAAAAAAAAAAAAAAAAAAAAATATATATATATATATATACACACACACATATATATATGTATAACTAAATAAATTTTTAATAAAAAAAAAAAAAAAAAAAAAAAAAAAAAAGGGGAAATTGTGTGGGGAGTAGGTCCATCAGCCCAAAAATAATGGCCCTACAGTGCCAGATAATATAGTTACAGATGCAAACCTAAATATAAATTCTCTCTGCATCTGGTGAAAATGACATGCATTAGGTGGTAAGAATATGAATCAAATATCAATTATCAGCTTGAAGAAGTTGAACATGTTTAGCTGTTATAAATTCAACCTTTACTATTATAGAATGCTAGCTGCTTATCCATAATAATTTCTAAAATGAATATTGCTTGAATTTTAATAAAATATTGATAATCACATATATTAAAAGTAGAAGTGATTTCAGAGAAAATCTGTAAATATTTTATATATGAAAGACACCAAGGCCCAGGGAAGCTAAGTGACTTTGTTCAAGATCACACAGGTAGTTAGAATGACCAGAACTGTTTTACTGCTAAATTCAGTTTTCCTTCTGCTACATACTACCTGGAAATTTCCTTTAGAAGAAATTTCATTAATTTTCTTCTAAAATGTATTGAAATTTGCATCCAGTCTCAATATCATTTTAGAAGAAAATTATTAGCAAAAATAAATTTTTATTCAGATGAGATGTTTCATAAACTATGCTAAAATTAGGGAAATTGCTTAAAAACAGCAAGATAATTTCTGGGGGAAAATTACTGATCATTAAAATATTTTAATTTGCATACTTTATTAGTTAACAAGGACTGACTTTGCTCTTAATCATTATTAATTGTGTCACCATTTAGAAACTTAACGAGCCAATTTATAATCTCTACAATTAACATTAATAAAACTTACAAATAACTCAATTAACTATTCCACTACAGTTACTACCATTTTTAACCGTCTTACTCAATGAAATGCGATCATCCCCTTTGTATAGCATCTTCTAATCATTTTTTAATATTTACTATTATTTTTTCAAGGCAAGTCAAGTCAAACAGTGGGAGTGGAGAAACAACCACTGCACTTGGGCCAGCCGTTTTTTTAAAAAAACTTTATATTATAAAAACTGATTTTTTAAATCTTGATAACTGAAGAACTCTATTTTCAAAAAATTAGCAAAGGCAAACCAAACCCCTGAAAACCTACTGGCTCTGTATTTCTCTCCCAATAACCGACTGACCTATTTAAACAAAAATATTTCCTTTTGAGAGGGCCAAATGACTAAATTAGGTTATGGAAAGGCTAAAAGTGTGAGAGCTCTCATGGCTGTAATGCTATTACAGAATAGGGCTGTGGATGCAGCTTCCCTAGAATTTAAGCATGGATAAGCATATGTTAAGAGGAGTTATAAGGCTCCCCAAGTCTTACTGAGGGTATTCACGTTAGGTGCTAGGTGAAAGAAGAATCAGTAAACATTTCTAGCCTGTGAGGTTAAGTGTACCTAGCTGATTTCACCATCATGAATTCGCCTGAAGCCATGTCTGTAGGTTAACAATTTAAAAATTTATAAGTGCACCATAGTGAGGTATTTGCAATCTTTGGTGCTATGCCATGATACTGGTTGATGTCTGATGCTTCTACAACATAAGCATTTACTTTATTGGACATAAAGGATACCTAAGTATTAAGCAAAGTAACACTGATCAATGTGAAAATAAAAATTTAAAAGACATATCTACTAATATGTGTTTGAAAATGCTTACCCATATAAAATTTCCATTGTTATATAAAGGTTTTCATGATGTAACTCTGGCTCTTAAATTTTAAAAAGTACAGAATAGAATTCTTGATTCTAAATTTTTGACACTGCTCCTGAGGTTGCCACTAAAGTAAAAGAGGAAAACACCCCAAACTGGTCATTTATGAAACCGTAAGTTCAGTGTGAAATTTGCTTTAAAACTACAAATTATGTCAGACTAAATAAATATATATGCTCACATTTGTAAAATTTTCCACATTACTCATCGAAACAAGCTTCATAAAATTTACATATGGAATACAATAAAAATCAGTTCTAATAAAGATTTAGCTATCTTCCTAAATAAAAATTTCTGTGTTTGAGGTATTCACTTAAAGACATGCCAATATGGCACATTTGTAAAACAACCCAGGAGTCTATCCTAAAAATCCTGACCAACACAGCATTCATCTCTGCAGACTTACTTACAGGCTGAACTAGATTAATCTCTTTATACAAGAAAGAACTATTTTAATTGTTACAAAAACAAAAGAGGCAGGTACTAGAAATTCTGCATTTCATAGAATAGTGAAACTTTGTTAGAGATATTTTCATGATCATCTTCCTGCAGACACCATTCATTTAAAAGGTTAGCCTAGTCAAGACTATTAAGCAGCTGCACATGAAAAAAATCCCTAGAGATTTAAAAAAAAAAACCAACAGTGAAGAACTTCACTATCTTTAAAAGATATTATAATTCAGTATATAAAGCTATTAAATTCCCTGTGTCAAGAGCAAAACATTACCCTAGGTAAGGACCTAGCTTCATCACTGGAAGGCAGACACCTGATTCAGCAATACTCATTAACCGCTAGGTAGATAACCCATGTTGACTATAATAAAGCCATTTTACAATCAACTTTATGAAGTAATAACATTAGCCAAACACACAGAGCCACAAATCCAAACATGATGCGTTTAGTATATACAAATAGCTATACTCGGGGCATGGCTATCAAGTAACAAGACTGATTTAATACTTTATAGTCATAGCACATTAAAAATATATTGCCAGAGGGATAATGGTCCCACATACGAAAAATGTGTATATTGGAAAAGCTGTGATTTATTGCAAAGCATAACATATAGCAAATTCCAAGGAAGGGCAAACACGTTTTAACAACAAAATTTTTAAATTTAATGGCTTAAGCCAAAGTTTCAGTTACTTTCTGGAGAATTCAGAACTATTAGGGGTAGAAGAATGCTTTTCCTTTTTTCTCTTCTTTTTTTCCTTTTTGTGATGTTTCCCTTTTTTTGATTTACTCTTTTTTTCTTTTTTCTTTTCTTTCTTCTGATATTTTTGTTTCTTTTGTTTTGAAGTATCTTCTTCAGTGGAATTGGATGAGTAAGACCTATGGATAATAATACATACTGATTGAGAATTGCACTGACGACTAATAGATAAATTTAAGTGGGATTTGAACTGCCTTAAATTCTTCTTGGAGTAAGGTATGGAGTATAAACATAAACTTAAAATATGCTTCATATATTTGCATTGTCTTAAAATGCTGAATTTAGAATTTTTGTTGCTTGGTCATAGAAGCTGACAACACTAGTACCTCTATTCCACTCAATTCTAGTAATGAGTTTTAAATTCAGTAAGGATGAAATTATTTTTCTGTGATTTTTGGTTTTTTATGCAGTCATAACATTCAAAATCTTAAAAGGCAAACAAAGTGGCATGCACCAAGCCTTATTATATTCATTTGTATATATAATAACCTAGCATATTCTCTTAAAAGTGCCTCAAAAGTTGCAATTCTCTATTTCAAAAGGGCTCTAATTGTACTTTCATATGAATGAATGAAAGCTGAGAGTCAGCAAAATAAAAGCACTTTTGGTAATTATTCTGATTTTTTAAGTACTTGGTCCCTCTAGATGCAGAGTGATACAGATGAATACTTGCATTACAAAATAATTTTCATTAGTTACAAAATGATGCTTTTATATGCTATATATAAATGAAAAAGGATGAGTTATCATTATGCTTTTGAAAAATATTACTCTAATACTAAATTGGAAAAATTGGTTGGATTCCTTCCTCTAATACTAAAAAAAAAAAAAAGAAAGAAAAAGAGAAATAGAAAAAACTATTTTTTAAGATCTTAAAGAGATGTGCAACATTCTACCTATACCCAAACTCAAAATATGAGTGACAAAACAGAAATTAATTTAAAATGTGAAAAAAGGTATCTGAAGAGTTAGTTCAGTGATCTAAATATTAGGAGTTAAAACTCAAACTAAGAAAACCTGAGACGGACATAAAGGAGGTGCCAATGTAAATTTCAGGAGACTACAGGGCTCCAAGGCTATCCTGTGTCTATATAGTGGCTTGTGTGACTTCTTTGACTGCCTTCCTCCTTTAGTGACTCCAAGTTTTCCCCTATTTTTGTAAAGTTGTGTTCCTTTTTCCTCCTTGTTTGTCTACTTACTTAGACTTCTGACCATCTGCTAAAGCTTATTTTCTCATGTATTCTCCTCCTCCTCTGCCTCTTAAATTCTGTATTCTGTTATTCTCAAATTTTGTCTACTAAAGACCCTGCCTGACTTGACCTCTGGATTCTGACTAAAGCTTCTTCTCTGTCTGCACTTTTTTCTTTGTTTGTTTTTTTTTTTTTTGGTTCTGGAGTCTCATTTTTAACGCAAAATTTTAGGCTGTGGCATAGTGACACTTTCAGGTGGTACTATCTCTGCTAAGGGTGCATAGAAAAGTTAATTGATTTTAAGGTTTGTGATACTCAAGATAAAGAGTCCCAAGTAAGTAATCCGTTATTATAAAAGAAGTATACAGATATACCTCAACTTACAATGGGGTTACGGCCTGATAAATCTATCTTAAGTTGAAAATACACAAAATACACCTAACCTACTGAACATCATAGCTTGACCTGGCCAACCTTAAACATGCTCGGAACACTTACATTAGCCTCTAATTGGGCAGAATCATATAACACAAAGCCTATTTTATAATAAAGCATTGAATAGCTCATGCAATTTATTGAATATTACCCCTAAAGTGAAAAACAGAATGGCTGTACGGGCACTTGAAGTACATTTCTACTTCACCATCGTAAAGTTGAAAGATCTTATCGAACCACATAAATTGAGAACTATCTGTATTAGAATTTGGAAGACTATTAGATAACCTTGTGTTTCCTGTAAGCAATCCATCTTGCTGTGCTAGAACAAATGATTTAATAATACATTAACAAAATCCTGAGCTCTACATTCCTATCTCCTTTTATATTAACGATTATTAGTTAACTCCTGACACTTGAAAATGAGCAACTTTTCCAATTTATAAGATACCTGAAATAGTAAAATACATGTATTAAATGCTCTATAAAAACTACAAAGTGACAGTCCCTGGTTTCTAGAACCTATTCTGTATGAGAACTTTGTCTAAACTAGAAATAATTATGGTGAAGAGCTTTAAAAAAAAGCCTGTATGTGCAAATTTATGCTAGTATGAATGAAACTGCATTCACTAACAAGAGAAGTAGCCACTTACTACTTTTAATAATTTCTTTAACCAGTTAGTTATTAAAAGAGTTAATAGTGAAAATACACAGGTGGCTGAAGACCTGAAGGAACTTGGGATGCTAAAAATTCCTTCAGGTCTTTCACAAGCCTCATCAGCCACCATATATATATATATATATGTATATATATATATCGTATGATATATATATCACATATATGTCACATATATATATCACATATATATGAACTTGTCCTGTTAAGTATGTATATATAAATGTAAATATAATGTGTATATGTATGTGTGTATGTGCATATATATATACACATATACATACATATAAATAAATAAATATATTTTGGGAGGCCTTGCTGTGTTGTCCAGGCTGGAGTAAAGTGGTGTGATCACATCTCCTGTGCTCAAGCAATTCTCCCACCTTGGCCTCCCACGTAGCTGGGACCACACGTACATGGCACCACACTTGGATAATTTTTCTTTTCTTTATGCAGGGACAAGATCTCACTATGTTGCCCAAGCCTGTCTCAAACTCCTGGGCTCAAGCCATTCTCCCACTTTGACCTCTCAAAGCGCTAGGACTAAAGGCATGAGCCATCACACCTGCACAACATGACAAGTTCTATTAGATTCTATTAATAAGTTAATTTATTAGCCATGGTAATATTACAAGAATACAAATATTTTTGTCAACTTCATGTATATGAGGACAAAATATATATTAAGAGTTTAAACTTAAGTCCAATTGAAAGCTTAGTTATTGAAGAAAACATACTAAATTAACTACATTACACACATACACACACACACACACACACACACACACAAATTTTATATTCCATCCTAAACTCACAGTCTTGCTTTACTGTTTTAAAAAATGCTGTTAAAAAATACCTTTTCCTTTTTTTTTTCAATTTGATTTTTTCTTTGCTTTTTTCTTTTTTCTTTTCCTCTTCTTCATTTATTCCTGTGGGGGAGAGGTGACAGATAAACATCAGATCATCATGAGTCTATACATCAATATGGTATGTATATACGTTAAAATTTTAGCTGTTGGTGAATTTCACTGGTTAGGATATTATACTTCTTTTGTAATAATTTTCTCCTGTCTTATTTTTATACATTAAAAACCTCATAAAGGTGTTAAACGTTTTTTGTGAACATTTCAAATACTAAGTGCATCAAGTAAAAAAATTTAAGTACCCCACTTCGAATTCCCAGAGGAAATCGATGCCAGTGTTTTGATGGGTATCATTCAGTCCTTCAAAAGCCAAAGACTACAACAGTGCACAGTTTTAAAATTTTCTTTTGCAACAAAATTAGGATCATGTAATATGTATCATTCTCTAACTTGTTTTTTAAATGCACTATTTGGTGTGTATTCTTCTAGGCATTCTTTATATGAAACCAAATATACACACATTTACTCATATACATAGTTGCATATAAGTTCCAAGTATTTTTTTGCCTTTGAAAAATGTACAGTCCCATATATTTTGCAGCTAATTTTTTTTTCACTTAACATAGCAGACATCTACCTTTGTCATTAAACATATATCAGCATCATTATTAAACAAGGAATAGTGGTCCCATGAACCATAATTTATCAATTTCTACTCTCATTTTTAGAAACAATAAGCAGTGGAAATCTTTGTACTTATATCTTCATACATATAAGAAGTGTTTCTGGGTGACAGAACTTGTTTACATATATTTTTTAAAAAATTAATATATTTAATTTTACTTTAATAGAAGGAAATGAAAATACAATTCAAGAAATAGCTTTCCCACAAGAAAGATTATTTCCCAAAGAGCTCCTTAAAGAAAAAAGACCATAAAAAATTAAGAGTTTGGAGCTTTTTTTAACATTATATTTCAAATTTACATAGTATCAATTCACTCCCTGTTCCATATAAAAGATGACAAAATTAGCTTTTGCATTTTTCACTTCTTAACACTAAACCTCCCAATTTTTAGGCTTAATTATTTTTCTATTTTCAAGGTTGTAAACATTTTAATATATCTGTGTATATTCCAAATTTATATATTTTCTAATTATAAAAGCAATGTACATTCAAGGTAGAGACTTAGTAGGTTACAGAATGAAAGTATAGATAAGAGAATTAAATTTTGCTATTTGGACTGCCTTTTCATAGCCAGGAAGCCTTGGGGTTATTTGGCAAGGTACAGAATAGAGATCAGTTTGTTTCATAAAATCCTAGATTTTACTGACCACATTTTCATTCATTTAACAAATATTTACTAAATGCTTATGTGTCAGGTACTGTGCTATGTACTGGGTCTTTGCTGTCCATGATCCTTGCCCACGGGGAACTTATAGCTAAGTGGTGAGAAAGAAAATGAACAGGCAAAGGTTGCATTCTTTTTTTTTTTTTTTTTTTTAGACGGAGTTTCCCTCATGTTACCCAGGCTGGAGGGCAATGGCGCGATCTCGGCTCACCGCAACCTCCGCCTCCTGGGTTCAGGCAATTCTCCTGCCTCAGCCTCCTGAGTAGATGGGATTACAGGCACGCACCACCATGCCCAGCTAATTTTTTGTATTTTTAGTAGAGACGGGGTTTCACCATGTTGACGAGGATGGTCTCGATCTCTTGACCTCATGATCCACCCGCCTCGGCCTCCCAAAGTGCTGGGATTACAGGCTTGAGCCACCGCGCCCGGCCCCCAAAGGTTGCATTCTAAGCGAAGAGCAAGGATAGTGCATGTCAAGAAGAGGAAATCGGTGCCAAAGCTCCAAGGCAAAAAGAGTTTGGTGTGTCCTAGAAACTAAAAAGAAGTTGTTGTGGATTTCAGAAGGAGAGAGGCAACTATGAATAAGAATAAATATGAACGAGAACAGATGAATGATATCATAAATACTTGGAGAATATCTTGAAATGAGACACCAGAGAGGTAAGCAGGAACTTGCTTCTTCAAGACCATGAAGGCAGCAGTAAGGATTTTATATTCTAAGTGAGATGGACTGTGTGATCAGCAGATTTACATGACAAATGAATTGGAAAGAGCTAAGGGGAAAAGGCAAGGGAATAATAAAGTAACTGGAGTAACCCAGGCCAGAGATAGTGGTATCCTGAATAAAGGCAGTGGAGGTGGTATGTGTGTGGGAAGGATGATGGAACCAAAGGAATCAAGGATGACCTCCAAGTTTTTAGCAGTGCCACTGATTAAACTGTGGACTGGGGGGGAGTGTGCTGGAGACTGGAGGACAATTGGGGGTGGGGAGTAAAGACTTCAATTTTAGACTTATGAGATCTAAAAGACCTGTTTGACATCCAAGTAGGTAACTGAAGTAGGCAGTTTGGTATGTAATTCAGAAGTTTAGAGAGAAGTCTGGACAAACACACTGATCAGCTTATAGACAGTATTTAAAACTATGGGGATTAAATGAAATCATTTAGTAAAAGAATGATGAAAAAAAAATACAGGGAGTAAAGCCCAGGAAGATCATTTTCATCTTGAAGGATTCCAACATTTGTGAGCTGAGAAGAGCACGAAGAGGAGCTATCAAAAAGACTGAGAAAGAAGGGCCACAGGGTTGGAAGAATACCAGGAGAACCAAGAAGTAGGAGTGTTAAAGAAGAAAAGGGCCACCTACCAAGTAGTACCTAAACGCCAAGTAGAATGTGGATATAAAAATGTCAAATAGATTTGGCAAAAACTAATTAAAGACCTTGACAAGTGGACTGAAAACAAATGGAAATAAAAATGTAGAGACAGTAAGAATACCTTTTAAGAGAAGTTTAGCTAGGAAGCAGCAGAGAAATGGGCTGTTAGCTAGAGGGATGCAAAGGATCTAGGGGAGAAAGATGGGAAAAACGAGAAAAAAAATCAATGCTCTTGAAATGATGATGCAAAGAGGAGATAACTGAAGGAGCAAAGTTCTTAAAAAAAAATTCTTAGCAATTATAGTAGAACACACGTTTAAAAGAAGGGAGAGTCTTTCCACTTTAACTGAAGGAAAGAAAAGAAAGATGGACATATATGCAAATTTGTGGATTCAGTGATTAGAAGCTGAGGTGAGATTCATCAAGCAGCCATGGGCCTGGGTACAATGAGGTCAAGGTAAGCTGTGGGAATCTGACTTGCTCTCTGCTAGTGGATGAAGCTACATCATTTAATTTCTTGCTGAGTTCCTTCACTGTGAATTCTACTTCTTCATTGAAACTAAAAGGCTCATTTGACCATCTGTACTGTGGAATGTACGTTCAATGGATTTTGTCATATATAAGAGAATGTTTGGGGGAAGATCCAAGATGGCCGTTTAGGCCAGAGTTGCAGCTCCAACAGCTCAGAGTTGCAGCTCCCAGTGAAAGTGCAGAGGGTGAGTGGAGGCAGCATTTTTATTGCCCACGGACTAAGAGATTCCCAGGCGGAGGAGCCCCAAGTGTCACCAGCATGGCTGTTGTGGCCGGCACCGTTCTTTTGGTCAGTGCAGCTGCTTTGTTGGAGCCCCAGCCAGCAGTTCTCTGTACAAAATACACTGGTCCGGGTGCCCTTTTGGCTGGCAATTGGAGACACAGGAAGTCGCCCATCCATCTGATTAAAGAGGGAACTGAACAGGGAGCAAAGCCAGGAGATTCCTGGGCAAAAAAAGCACCACAAATCTCAGCACTGCTGTTTAAGCTGGCACAGTGAGTCGCCACATGGGAAATCACACAGATCCCAGGGTGCCCTTTCAACAGGCGACTGGGATAGAGTTGACTCTTCAACTAAAAAACAAAAAAAAGGCTCTGAGGCAGGGAGCCAGGTGATCAGGCTTGGTCCCATCACCACAAAAGAACAGCAATCAGAAATCTCTGGATGGAGAGTTTCAAAGCAAGGGCAGCTGAACCCGGGATGGTCCAGCTCTGTGGGGGAAGGGTGTCCGCCATTACCGAGGCATTACCTACACTAAGGAGGTAGTCCACCAATGCTGAGGCAGCCTGCCGTTGCCAAGGCAACCCGCCATTGCTGAGGCTACCTGCCACTGCCAAGGCAACCTGCCATTACAGAGAGAGTCCACCAACACAGAGGCGGGCCACCATTGCCAAGGCAGTTCTAACTACACCCATATAAACAAGACTGCAGGGAAGTTCACACGGCAGCTGGGCAGAGCCCACAGCAGCTCAGCAAAGCCTCTGCAGGCAGACAGTGAACAGGCTGTCTTCTTGCTGGGCAGGGCAGCCCTGAAAAAAAAAAGGGAGCAGCACAACGGAAACTCATAAATAAAGCCCTAACTCCCTGGGACAGAGCACCAGGGAACAAAAAGTGGTTTATGAGTTCTGCTACAGCAGACCTAAACGTACCTGCCCAGCAGCTCTAAATGAAAAATGGAGCTCACAGCTCAGCACTTGAGCCCCTATATAGGACAGACTGTCTCCTCAAGCAGCTCCCTGACACCTGTATATCCAAAGAGTCACCTCATAAAGGAGAGATCAGACTGACATTTGGCGGGTATCCTTCTGGGACAAAGATAGCAGAAGAAGAAACTGGTAGCAACCCTTACTGTTCTACAGCTGCTGCAGGCGATACCCAGGCAAGCAGGGCCTAGAGTGGACCTCAGGAGTCCTACAGCAGAGGGGCCAGACTGTTAGAAGGAAAACTAAGAAACAGAAATAACTTCATCATCAACAAACAGAATGTCCACTCAGAGACCCAATCTGAAAGTGAGCAACTACAAAGACCACGGGTGGATAACTCCATTAAGATGGGGAGAAACCAGCACAAAAAGGATGAAAACACCCGAAACCAGAACACCTCTAATCCTACAAGGGATCACAACTCCTCACCAGCAAGGGAACAAGGTTGGATGGAGAATGAGTGTGATGAAATGACAGAATAAGACTTCAGAAGGTGGGTAGTAAGAAACTTCTGTGAA